CCGTATAAGTAGAATTTTTAGCGAGGACTTAATTTTGGCATTATTAGCGAGAGTGCTGACATCGCTAAAATTGAATATCGCTAAAAATTAATTGTGTATTATTTGCATCAGCTTCTTTAGTTAGCATTTTAAAATCGCTAAATTTACTTCTCGCTAAAAATAAAATACCAGATTTTAGGTAGAAATCGCTAAATTTGCGTCCCGCTAAAATTTCCACTTATACGGGTATTAGGGCTTTTGAAAAATCCGTTGCTAATTTTGCCAAGTAATATTTTTCAGTATTGATTATTCTTTACTGACATGTTAATTTAAAAATTATTGTTTTATTTGTAAATTGCATTAGTGACCAGTATAGAATCCTAAGATTATGTTCAACATTAATTAATCTTGAAAGAAATTTATACACATTTCATTTATCTTTTTTATGCATCACATTTTTTACATAGATTGAAATTAGGGTCATTGTTTATTGAGCAGCATGTTCAATGATGTGTAACACTGATACGTGTACCCAAAGAACATGCATGATTGATTTTCTGCCCAAAGGCGATTGAAACCACAGGTGTTTATACCATTTTATTCATACACATTATCGGCCAGGTAAACAAAAGCAAAACAAAAAAGAAATAAATCATAATTCCAGGTATTACAGGTTTTCAACTGTTTATTAATTTTTTTTAATTTACTCTTTTAATAACTTATTCATAAATTTAAAACTAATTCATCTGTAAATTCCCGTATAATTGTTCACATTGCTTATATTACGGAAGAATGGTGGCATAATTTTATTTCATGTCATAAAATAAATTGTTAGATTTTTATTTGAGGGTTGTATGTAATACCCTTTTAGCGTGGTGCTTGTAAAACGTGTAGCCTTTTCAATTAAAATATCTTATATCTAAATGTAATGATTTTTTAAATAGTGCCAAATGAAAATTTTGAGTATTTAATTCTAGATTTTATAAGAAAAGAAATCTACATGTAGATACTTTTTCTCATCACTACTGAATTAAATATCCCCTTAGATTCCAAAAAATCCCCTGTTGTCCCCCTGTCAGTCACTGACATTTTCCTGTCTCTCCCTGACTTTCTCCTATGATCCCCTGTCGTTATCCCTGCTCTCCCTGTCCAGACCCTGTCGTCCCCTGTCGTTGCCCCTGCCTTCCCTGTCTACTCCCTGTCGTCCCCTGACATTCTCTGCTCTCCCTGTCCAGTCCCTGTCGTCCCCTGTCGTTGTCCCTGCCTTTCCTGTCTACTCCCTGTCGTCCCCTGACATTTATTTTGGCCAAGAAAAGGAGTATAAAAAATATTTTTGTTGCATTTAAGAGTGAAAAATGATATACTCAGTAGTCTTGAAAACTTTATTTATTTATTTATTTATTTTTGAAAATATAGATTTAGTAAAATGTTAACACATCTTTAAATTCCTTAACTAAATCCCCTGTAATATAGTTTCTATAACTTGTATCAATGTGATTTTTTTTTTAGCTTGGTCGCATTTCGGGGGGAGAATTGCATAGATTCTAAAGAAGAAATAAATTACCAATTTATTGCATCTTGTGATGCTAGACGGCATATACATTGTACTTTATGAACCTTTTATATATATTTATAAACTTTTTTATTTGATCTACTTTGAAACATCTTTGAGCGTGATAACTGTCTTTGTAAAAGAACTAGATTTAAACATTTGGGAATACATTATCAAATCTATGAATGGGATTTTTTCCCCAAAGAATTAAATGAATAGAAAACAAATTGAAGGAATATATATAAAAGATATATAAATACAGTAATAAAAAAACGTCTTAGTAATAAATAAAAAATTATTAAATAAATTATTAATCTATTTAATTCATTTATTTTCTTATGTGAATAAATCTTCAAATAGACTGAATTAAGAATGAATAAATAAATAGATAAATAAATAAATAATGAGAATTATATTACTTTTTTTTTTAATTTATCAATCATTTATATCCCCAAAATTTGATTTATTAATTTTAGTTTATTTATTTGCTGAACTATGCTACAAAGTATTTTATTAGCATATTAAATCGACTTTTCATTACTTTAAGTCCATGATGATTATCAAAATAAACGTCTCATTATGACCAATATTAATCTGTCAATTAGATTTTTGATACATTGATTTTTTTAAAAATCGGTTTTCAAAACCCTAACACGGTTCTGAACGAACATCAAAGCCATTGATGTTTACAATTAATTAACTCGGGGCACACGGTCATGACACCTATTATCTTTTTCAGTGACCGCAATACCTTATTTTTGTTGTGGCTGGACGACCGTGCGTAGATTGCAGCTGTTTGAAATAACAATTTTTCTTTGTATGAGAACTGATTTTCTCAATCAAAACAAACTAAAAGTATCAAAGAAATTATTGATGGGTAAAGATTGTGCATAATGAGACGATTATTTTGATATCCATCATGGAAGTAAAATAATTAAATGTAGTTTAAATATGCTTCAAAAATACTTTGACACATTTTTTTTTATCTATTGTTAACATCGAATAAGCCAAACAAATCTAATTTTCAGGTATATTCTTATTAAATTTGTTTGTAACGTCAATTTCAAAAATTAAAAAAGTTTGTTTTTATAATGATTAGATGCATGCAGTTAATAAGTTGATTTGTTTTTAATTTACTAAGTACTTCAATCAATTTATTGGTTTTAAACACTAAAATATTCAAAACTGAACCAGTACCCATGTTTTTTTTTTTATTTTTTTTATTTTTTTTTATTTCTAAAAAAGTACAGAGTCACTCCAGTTGTGAGAGGAATTAAACAGATTACAGAGAAATAAATACATAGTACATGTATATGAATAAAGTAAAATAAATGATTAAATAAATAATTATTACAAAAAATATCAATCAATTTTACTATTTATTTTCAAATTAAATTTTAAAATTAAAAATACAAAAGAAATTGTTCAATGAATTATATCCGCAAGAAATTGTTTTTCTTTTTTTTTCAGTCTTATTATTTTTTTTTTATTTATAGCGGTCAGTGAGAAAGACAATAGGTGTCATGACTGTTCATGTACCCTAAGTTAATTACTGGTAGACATCAATGGCTTTGATGTTATTTCAGAACCGTGTTAGTGTTTGAAAAAACGATTTTTAATCAAATCAATGTATCAAAAATCTAATTGACAGATTAATATTGTGCATAATGAGACGATTGTTTTGATATCCATCACGGACTTAAAATAATAAAAAGTTGTTTTAATATGCTTTTAAAATACTTTGTAGCACATCTAAGGATGCAACTGTTTATGTAAAATAAAACTAAAGAAACACAATGTCTGGCAGATATAAATGATTGATTAATTTTTTCGTATTTTCAATTTCAAAAGTAAATAAATATATTGATATTTTATTAATAATTTTCATACTATTCATTTCTTTAATTTTATTTATTTACTATGTATTTATTTCGCTGTGATCTGTTTTATTCATTAAATATTGGTTTGACTTCGTACAATTTGTAAAATAAAAAAAGAAAAGAAAAGAAAAAAGAGAGAGACAGCACGGGACACTGGTGCATTTTGGAATAATTAAGTTTTTAAAATCAATACAATAAGTGATTTTAAATAGTATATAAATAATTAAAAAAAAAAACTTATTAACTGCACTTATTTATTTATCATAAAAACAATCGTTTTTTTTTTTTTTTTTTTAAATTGACGATACAAACAAATTAAATAATCAAATACCCGAATATGGGATTTGTTAGGTTTATTTTATGTAAAATTATTTACGATAAGATATGTGTCAAAGTATTTTTGAAGCATATTAAAACTGCTTTTTATTATTTAACTTCCATGATGGATATCAAAATAATCGTCTCATTATGCGCAATCTTTACCCGTCAATAGTTTCTTTGATACATTTATTTTGTTTTGATTGAAAAAAAAATTAGGTTCTCAAAGCGAAAATGTTATATTTAACAGCTGCAAACTGTACACGGACGCTCTGAACACAAAATAAACAAGGTATAGCGGTCAGTGAGAAAGATAATAGGTGTCATGACTGTGTACCCCGAGTTAATTACTGGTAGACATCAATGGCTTTGTTGTTCTTTCAGAACCGTGTTAGGGTTTGAAAAACCGATTTTTAATCAAATCAACGTATCAAAAATCTAATTGACATATTAATATTGTGCATAATGAGACGATTTCTTTGATATCCATCACGGACTTAAAATAATAAAAAGTCGTTTTAATATGTTATTAAAATACTTTGTAGCACATCTAAGGATGCAACTGTTTATGTTAAATAAAACTTAAGAAACACAATTTCTGACAGATATAAATGATTAATTATTTTTTTGTATTTTCAATTTCAACAGTAAATAAATATATTTTTTTACTTTTTTATTAATAATTTTCATATTATTCATTTATTTTATTTTATTTATTTACTATGTATTTATTTCGCTGTAATCTGTTTTATTCATTAAATATTGGTTTGACTTCGTACCATTTGTAAAATAAAAAAAGAAAAGAAAAAAGAGAGAGACAGCACGGGGTACTGGTGCATTTTGGAATAATTAAGTTTTTAAAATCAATACAATAAGTGATTTTAAATAGTATATAAATAATTAAAAAAAAATAAACTTATTAACTGCACTTATTTATTAATCATAAAAACAATCTTTTTTTTTTATTTTCAAAATTGATGATACAAACAAATTAAATAATCAAATACCCGAAAATGGGATTTGTTAGGTTTATTTTATGTAAAATTAGTTTCGATAAAATATGAAAAAATTAGAAAAAAAAGTTGATTGGTCTCGAATAAAATTTCAACAGCTCAAATAAAAAATATTGATGTTAGATTTACAGTAAAACTCGCTTAGAACGAACACGAATATTGCAAATTTACGGATATAGCGAAGGTATCTGGGATCCCCAGCTATATAAATATAACGGATTCTTTATACGGATTTAATGAATTACGGATATAGCTGTGTTTTTCTACTAAGCAATCTGTGAAATTGATTTGAAAACCATTTTCATGTATATGCAGGCGTTGAAATATACAAGGAGAAACGTGTGTTAACGTGACGTCACAATGAGACTGCAGCGACGTTGTTAAAATGCTAGCTCGCTTCATGCAATATGCATACGTGACAACTCTGTGTGATTTACACACCAATAACTCACACTAAACTTAAAAACATGCCTTACGTAATTTCACAGGTCCCGACGATTTCGTTATAACTGAGCTTTACTGTATAAGACTTTTAGACGACTTACCTGTTGTTTTTGTTTGCACGTAGCCCACCAAACATTCACGGGTAGGACAACCGTCCAATGTACACTTATAACCAACGTCACATGAAGCAGGACAACTGAACGAGGTTGTACAATCCACTTTGTGTTGTATTACGACTTCATGTGTGGCGTACCCTATAATTTAGAAGGTCTGCTTTTTTCACAAATGCATTTTAATGTATATGTTCACCATGAATGTATTGAATTTGGAATGTACAATATTTTTCAGAAATACATTTTACAACTAATTATTAGCCCCATATTAATTCATGTATATAATAAAAAGGCATAAATTTATGTAGTTTTATATTTTCAAGTTTTCTGTTTTAAGAATTGAAATCCATTGTCCCTTTTCCTATCTGATCAGAACCTAATATAACGAACTGAGATTCAGCCCTTGTTATTGCAGTATATTTTTTTTATCAAGTTAGGAATGAAGATCGGGGCAGTTTTTCTCCTTTAATGACATTAATCAGCATGATTTATCTGCATGTAATTTTTATCATTAATTTTCTGTATGTATCTCTGGTTCAATATTAACCTGAGGGTAGAGCACAATCACACGTAGGACACCCATCTGTTCCGCATTTATATCCCACACTGCAGCCATAATTACAGGTCAGGCTAAGACAGGTTAAGGTCACGACCTGTTGAACTACATAAAAAGCACAATGTTAAATATAACTCGGTAGGTTTTCGTAGCAAGTAAAAAGTAAAACATATACTGGAGGAAGTTAATAGTGAGTAAGTGTATGATAGTTGTAATTAATTATATGCTTGTTTATAAGACTGAGTATTGCCAAACGGCGCTACGACGTACGTAGCTTGAGTGCTTGGAAAAAATTAACAACAGAAGTAATTAGAATGATATTCAATTTAGATTTAGAATTTATTTTAAAAACAATAATTAAAGCGATGTAAAGATCCCACTCACCGTATGTTACAGAGGGCTTTATACATATACACGTCCCATAACCATCTTTTCCTGTTTCCCCAATCTGGTAGTTTGATCCGCACCTTTCTAGACAAATCTGTTCTGTTTGG